AAATAAACAACCCCATAGTAATTTGGCAGTTAAGCAATTAGAGATTATAGCAGAATACAAAGATTTTGTCAAATATTTAGAGGATGATTCAGTTCGCCTTGATTTGGTAAATACTTTGTCTTTACATATTGAAAATATTTACATATTGAAAATCTTGTAAATTTAAAATAATTATTTTAAATAATTATTTTATTTTGGTTTTGATTTTTTTTTTATTTAGGTTAAACAACTGAGTTTTTTAGGCGCAGAAGAATATAAACAGCTGATAAGATTGGTTATGAATAGGTTTTTCTAATTATATTTTTATATGAGCAATAATATTTTTTATTTTTCTGTTGTAAATATATATTTTAAGTATAGTAGTTATTGCAACAAATAATTACATTGGGATGGTAAATTGCTTATTTTTCATAAATTGTATTACTTATTCCTTATGTTATATAGATTATTTACAAATACCCTATTGGCACAGTTTAATTTAAAAGGTTCTGTTGGAAAAATTGGTTTATTATCAACGAAGCTATATGATGTATTAGAAGGTAATAAAAAGTAGTTTTAATATAATAAAAATTTTTATCATTTAGTATTTGATTAAAAATGTATGTTAAGTTAAAATTATTTTTAAGACTTTTGATAGTCAAAATTTTTTATTTTTTTCCAGTTTTTTACCTCCCCAAAGCCCAAAGGGGTCACTACAGTCGAGGAGGCTACTAATTTTTTTTTATTTTTTTATTTTTATTGTAAATCGTGGTACAACCCTCTCTCAACTCTTTAACTCCGAAACACGAACCATACAAAGCATACAAAGCGAGCGCTCTTACCACTACACCGCTGCCGCATAAATTATGTGGCAAGTTTACATTTTATTATTTAGCAAGTTTTTGTAAATTTTAATTTATTTTTAGAAGTTGTAACAAAAAGGTTTAGAAAAGTTTCAAATTCTGATTTAAGACAGCAAATCGGAAGATATTGTAAAAATGCTCCATCGCTTAAAAATAGAAACTAAAATTTATTTTTTATTGTATATATTATATGTTATATACATTGTTATATAAAAAGATACTTTATTAAAATCCATCTAATTGTATTATATGTCCCTTTTAACTTATTTTTTTTTAATTTTATTAATTAATTAATTTTTTTTTTTAATTTATTTTTCCTTTATATTTATGTTTCTAATAAATGCGGGATTAATTTTTTCTAAATTAAACACCTAAAAGTCTTCTAAAATAAGACTTCTTGAGTAAAACGTATTTAAAGCGCTTGGTAAGACGTTTTTAATCTGTCTAGAGTAAGATGACTTTAAGCTATCTTGAGTAAGATATCTTTTCGATGGACAACCTAGACCTTTTTAAGACATCTTTAAGACGTCTTGAATAAAACGCCTTTAGACCGTTAAATTAAGACGTTTTAAATCGGTCTTTAGTAAGACGTTTTCAAGCAATCTTGAGTAAGACGTCTTTTCGACGGACAACGTAGACCTTTTTAAGATATCTTTAAGACATCTTGTTTAATCTTAAAAAGACGTTTTTAAGACAGCTAAAAGATGTCTTTTTGTTTGCTGGGAAAAGTCACTATATTATCTTAAATACGAATAATTTTTTTAATTAAAAAACTTTTTAAAACTAAAAAATTTAATTTTTCAAATTTCAGATTATTAAAGCCTAATCCTTGAAAACTAAATATGAAAAAGTTCACGACCGAACAACGTGTTAAAAGAGCAAAGAGCTTACACTAGTCATTTTGGATTTAAAAAATCTACCACGTAAACAAATTAAAGTTAACCTAGCCGGGTGGTTCCAATCTTACGGATCTGTGATTTAGTTACCACGTACTGGTAGGTCATGCTCAAAGAGCTTAAAAGACAAAATTCAACATGCACGTAAAAACTTTAAAAAAGGGCTATAAGTTAATATTTCTAACTTTGCCCCAGAGGATTTAAAGGATTCTGAAACTCGTTCCGTATAAGATAAAGATTGCAAAAACTGGAGTCAGCAGATTATCAGGCACGATTAGCGTATTCTAACCAAGAATTGGCTAGGAATAATCTGAGTTCATTAATCATATTACTATGAGCAACAAGGGCCACTTCCACATAAACGGTTATGTTAATAAACAAAATATGCGATTTAGGGGTACAGAAAATTTAAGAATAGTCCAAGAATGTAGTCTACATCCTGTAAAAGTAACGTTTTGATGAAGTGTACCAGCGAAAAGAGTACTTGGACCTTATTTCTTTGAAGATGAAGAAGAAAACACAGTAACTGTCAATTTCATGCGTCCTACGGTCAAGAAAACACCTCACCCTACAATGGAAGTCTAAGACAAATTTTTGGAACAAGAATACTTTCACGGATTTCTGAAATCAACATGTCGTCACGCTCACCTGACTTAACTGCAACACACTTATTTCTATCGGGAAATTTAAAAAATAAAATATAACAAAATAAGCCTACAACTATTAGGTCATCCTTTGTGAAGAAATTGAAAACATAAACCAAAATACATTACAACAGGTGATGGTTCACTTCATAGAAATGAGCACGTTAGTGTGAATGGATATTCATAAAAATGTGTGAATGAATATTTATAAAAATAAGGTGGTTGGATATTTAAAGGATGTTATTTTTAAAACCAAGCAGTATTTACTTCTAGAATTGTGCTTTTTGTTTACAAAATGATAAACGTGAAATGAGAAAGAATACAAAAGTTATTATTTTTTTAATATAGTCTGGTGACTTTTTGGACACCCTGTATAATAAATTCTTTAAAAAAAAACTCAACTAATGAAAAAAATTATAAAACGTTATAATTCAAACAAATTGCAAACAAGTTAACCATTAATTTAAATCTCACGGTGCGTTGGAACATGTTCTAAGACCTTGCAACACATTTTATTTTTTGTTTATCATCAGAAAACTCTTCCTTATTCAAAAAATGTAAAAATCAACTTTGTTCAACGCCTAATCATGCGAAAGAACACGTTGATTTTTTAAAAATGTTTTGCATTTGCTGCTTCAGGAAAGGCAAGGGTTTAAGACCTTTAAATAATGATGAAACAACATATATAAATCTAAATAAAAAGAAAAAAGAATACTCAAACCTTATCAAAACTATATTCTTAAAAAATTATTCATCTAATAATTCAGACTTTCCTACCGTGCTTTGCTCAAAATGTAGAATAAAGCTTGTTGGGACTAACCCTTACTTCACTATGCGACCGTGTCATCAAAGTAAAATATACATATTTATATATAATCTACTTTAGTTAAAGATTAGTTACATTATTATGGCAGCTATGTTACAAGACATAGGCTATGAAATTTAGACCTGATTACCAGAGTTATCAGAGGGAGAAAATGTGAATGTTTTATGTGTGAAAATGGGCGCATATCAAAAATAGAAAAATTATTAGCCCCTATGGTTGAGTATGTTTTGGAAAACCTGTTTATAAAAGCGTCGAATATGTTTCCAATAAATTTGTAAAAAGGCTCATCTGTCCTGATTGCAATATTCAAGTGTCACAAGGTATTCCACATCCCTGTACGAAGTTAGAAAGACAAAAGAACTTGACGGCCATTATAAGACCAATATTACCTACAAGGCAAGGAAAAGTTCTGTCCATTCTCTCTATCAAAGATTTAAACACAAATTAATCAGGAAACTCTTTAGCTTTGAAAGCGTTTGTTTCAAAGTAACTTTTTGTCTCTGTTGGAAAGACTTTTCTTTGGATAAACTGAACAAACATCAACTAAAACTACATACCAGGTAGCTTTTGATGCTTAAAATTTTTGTTTTAATAATTTTCGTATTAGTTTAAAGTCAATTTTTAAATAACTTTGCAATGACTTCTAAGTAACTGCAATATGATTGAAGTTGCACACTTTCTGAGAAGTGAAGGAGGACGGAAAATATTTAACTAACTGAGAATAACAAGCTGATTGGAAAATTATTCAATGGCGATAAATTCCCATTATTATTAGGAGCAAATGAAAACAAAGAAGTAAGTGATCTACAATTACCTACATTTTTTTTTTAAATAACTAGAATGAAGTCAGTATCATTTATTTTGATTTTTATGCATTTATAGTTGGTAGAAAAAGATATTTCTATGGTGTATCTGAATGAGCTTGTTGCAACGGTGCTATATCACAGACATCGAGAAAAATGATCCATCAACACCTAATTTGTTATCAATATCAAGACAAATGATATTGATAACAAATTCGGTGTTGATGGAGGGCAGGGATTCCTTACAGCTACTCTATTAAAAACCCTAAAACCAGAGTTAGAAATTAATAAAATCCTAAATAAATTTTGAAAGGGTGACGGATATGAGTTCAAAGTTTTTAAAGATTCAAGTATAAACAAAACTATTACACTTGCCTTCATTGAAAGAAAAATACCATAATCTGCTAATAGTTTTGAATAAATTGAACATTCCCAGCAAACATGCTATAGCGGGTTTTCAGTGGACCTATTAGCAAGACCGTTTTTAGCGGTTCATTGGAGTTTTGCTTATCGTAACCGATTAGCGAAACTCCAATGAACTGCTAATAAATGCCTATATAGGTCCACTACAAATCCACAAAAACAAATATTGCTGGTTTTCTTCCTTAGATTACAAAGTATTTGAAGATCTAAAGATTTTGATTCTAATTGTAGGAAAACAAACTGCAACATTAAAGCACCCTTATTCGTTTTAGCATGACCTAATCTCCTAACTTTCAAAAAGCTGATTATTATTAAATGACTAATGGATATCTGATTGTGCAAAATTAAAAACAGCAAAAATGTACACAAATGTTGTTTAACCCCCATTATTAACAGGGGACAAAAATCATTTTTTATAATTTATTTATTTAATTTTTATAAAGTGGCTTATCAAGATCAGCCACTTTATAAAAATATAATTACCTTTTTTAATTAAACAACTGCTCCAAATTTTGTGTCAGTTATTTAGACAGTTAGTGTCTTAATTTACAGCATTTACTTAGAGG